TATTACAGAATTTTCAATACTAGATATTAGATTAATAATTATTTTACTTTTAAAATCAAAATTAAATGTATAAACTTTATAATATTTATATATAAATAAATTATAATAGCAAATATTTTTTTTTGTATTTTAATTATATTAATTTTCTATTTATTTTTTTCATTTAAATAACTATTGTTTTATTTGATTACAATTAATAATAATAATAATGTAAACTGTATGCCATATATACTTTTCCTCCACCCCCACAATAATATCATACATACATATATGTAGTGTTTTTAGGATATATACTGTATATTTAAGTTTACATAAACTGTTTGAATGCAGTCCTCCCCCCCTCCCCCTCCCCAATAGTAGTAGTGATGCGCAGTGAGACCAACAAAAAAGCAACAATCAAATAAATAGGTGATAAAACTTAATATTTTTAGGATTTAATTATTATTATTTATTTTTCTACTAATAATAATCATTTGGTAATTTTTTTGGTAGTATTTAATTTTAATCAAAAATAAAAAATTACCATTTTTAATTTAACTTTATAATTTCCCACTATAATTAGTCACATAATTTAATAATTTAAAATTTTTTTACTACTAGTATATTAACAATCATTAATAAAATGTCTTATTTTTAACTTAACATTTTTTAAAAGTTTATTTACAACTACAACAAAATAAAAGTATTATATATATTGTATATTATATTATATACACTTAGTAGTGGGTATAGTGAGTGATATAAACAGGTATATATATATACAGTATATACATATATATATATATATATTGATTTAGTCATTGATTATATCATTAATTATCATCAGTTGCCATATACTGAGTGTTGAAAAAAAAATCCTAACAATAATTATTATTATTATTATTGTATTCAATTTAGACAAACATTAGACAACAACAACAACAACAATAATAATATAGCAAACAAACAAAACAAAACAAAAATTGTAGGTTTGATATTACATAAAACATAGTTAATAGTTAATAGTACTGTATAATGATATATAGGGTAAAGTTTCAACATTAACAAAAAATCAATTAAATATTTTTTTTTCCAATTACTGTTTCAATCAAATATTTTATTACCATTACTACTACTACTACTACTACTACTACTACTACTACTACTATTACTTTAATACTACTACTACTGTATACTAACCAACCATTAATACAATTTTATTATTTTGTTTATCCTCTATTTTAAATTTGAGTTAATTATTTTTATCATCTATATAAATATCATTGTATCATAAAAATAAAATAAAAACCAAAATTTATTAACTTATATATAACTTAACAAAAAATATATTCAATAATTATAATAATTATAACAAATAGTTATAATATTTTTTAGTATAAAATTTTGTATTCTTTTAAAAAAATTAATAATAATTACAATTAAATTTTTTTAAAAAAATTAATTATATAAATAATTTTATTAGAAAAATGATTACTTTAATATGAAAAATAATTATAATATTAAAAAATTTAAAAATACAATTATATTACTAATTATTTATTTATTTTTTTTTAAAAAAAATAAATAATATTAATTACATAAAATAACTAATTTTATTCAACAAAACAAAAAAATAATATTATTAATGATGTTAATAAAAAATGTTAATACATTATTAAATGTAATTGAATAATTAGTTACCACTTTATTTAATTAATCTAATTTTAATTTATTTAATCATTTGTCAATTTAAATATAAATTTACAAATAATAATAATAACTATTTGTGTAATTAGTATTATAATAGTTTAATATTAGAGGTATATTATTATTATATTTATTTATATATATATATATATATATTATAAGTTATTATTTAATGGCAAAATTTATAATTATAAATTTATTATATTCTGATTAATTAATTAAAATCAATTTGACTTAAAGTAAATATTTTTAGTAAAATAATTTTTTAATTAAATAGATAAATTGCTAAAATTTTGTATATATATATATATATCAATAGATAGATAGTAGACCGAAAAAATAGTATACATAATTTATTTATATATATTTATATTGTCAATATAATAAAATAAAATTTACATTTTATTAAAAAATTGTTTGTCTAAATGTATTGCAAAACTGCTACCAATTTAATGAATAGAAAGAGAGAGAGAGAGAGAGAGAGAGAGAGAGAGAGAGAGAGAGAGAGAGAGAGAGAGAGAGAGAGAGAGAGAGGGAGAGAGAGAGAGAGAGAGAGAGTAACACTTTTGCAAATATTGAATAATTTAAAATAATTATGATTACTATGGAAACAATTTATGACAATTTTTGTGGTGTGTCTATATATGTGTGTGTATGTATGTATGTGTATGTATGTGTGTGTATGTATGTATGTGTATGTATGTGTATGTATGTGTGTGTATGTGTGTATGTATGTGTGTGTATGTATGTATGTGTGTGTATGTATGTATGTGTATGTATGTGTATGTATGTATGTGTATGTATGTGTGTGTATGTATGTATGTGTGTGTGTGTGTGTGTAAATAAATAGGGGTTTAACAAAAGCAAAAATATGATGATAGATATTATAATATAAATTATTAACACAATATTATAATAAATTAATAATAATAATAATAATATACAGTTTATTAACGAGTTGTCAACGTTAGAAAAAAAACTTTTTTATTATTATTATTATTATTTTATTTAATGTTAAATCAATATTGTCAACTATGATATATATAAAGTATAATTACAAACAACAACAACAACAACAAAATTAATACAGGTACAATAACATACAGTGTACAGGTATTATTAATTGGTTTATTATAAAACCTAAACAAATTGTTGTCAACAAATTTTTTTATTATTATTTTATGTATAGTATAATAATCTGTACATTTAAAAAATAAATTTATTTTAGTTTAAATTACTTTTTTAATTACTTTTTGTTTAATTGCAATTTACTATTAATTTGATATATTTCTATCTTGCTAATTTTTTTTATTAAAAAAATTATTATTATTAAACATCTAATTAACTTAATTAATTAAATCTGTTATTTTTTTCAAAAATTATAATTATAATCACATTTTTGTCACTACAGGAGGCGTATATTTTTTTATAAAAAATATAAATTTTGATAATTAAAATGTGGGGTGGGTGGGTGATTGGACAGGGAGGGGGCTATTGAAACTAAAATAAATTAAACAAACATTTTTGTTTAGTTAAGTAAATTTTTATATTAATTTATTTTTATACTACTTTATGTATTTATAATATATTTAGTGACAAAAAAAAATCAATAATAATAAAGTACACTAAATTTATTAATGCTTAAAATGTCATAATATTTATTTTCATATTATTAATTTTAATATTATTAATAATAATAATAATAATAATAATAATAACGATATACTCTTTTGTATATTGTATTAATATAATATATTAAAGTTATAATTTATCATTAAAAAAATTTGAAATACATTGAAAACTAGAAACAGTATGTTTAAACTGTAAACAATCTAATGATTAAATAAAAATATTGGTAAATAACTTATTTTTATTTAGTATTATTATTATCTATACTTTTTGATATAAATGTGAATGTGTTAACTATATATATATAAAAACTATTGATTTAATTTTTATAAATAACAAGATATATAAATTATTAATAATAATAATAATACTGTAATGTGATTATACCGTACAGTTTATATCTTATAAATTATATCTTTTATTTATATATATATACAGTATATTTTGTTAGTTTAGTTGATAGTTAAGAGCATTTTTTTTTGACAAATATCAATCTATGTATGTATAGTGACATCAAATGCGATGATTTTTTTTTGTATTAATAATATATATATAATATATTTTTATAGTATAATATAATAACATACAGATAGCTATGTTATAATTAGTGTCTTGATTTTCAACTAAAAAAATTATTTTGTCGGTTTAACGCTTATAACTGGGACTTAGTATGTCCACCGAAGTTGACCAGTGGACGCTATTTCCGAAATTTTATTATAACTATAAATAACTATTTGTTAGGTTAGCAACTATAAAAACTTATAAATAACTATTTCAGTTATTTTGAAAAATATAAGCATTAGATTGTAAAATATTGCTCAAATATATGTAAAAACAAAAAATAATAGTTATATAAATTATATAACATGTGTAAACTGTTATCAACTCATATTACTTTTTTAACAATAGAAATAATTAGTTTATTTATATAAATCATTTTTGTAAATATGCTGAAAACAAGTGAATTATATATCAGTTGAAATATTTATAAGAAAATAAATAACTATTTCAATAACTATTTGGTTTTTTTTGGCAATTATATACAACTATTTAATACAGTTTAAATAACTATTTTAACAACTATTTGACGTTTTTTGGCAACTATTATAACAACTATTTAATAGAGTATAAAAAATTATTAATCAATACACTAGTTATAATAAACAGTTAACACATACAACGCTATATAAATTTATTAGTCAATAGCAATGGTGTGATCTGTAAATCACTGATCAATTAAATTATTTATTAGATATATATATATATATAATAAGTTTATAATCAGATAGTTATTGAACCCTATAATCATATACAGTATATTATATATTAATGATATCTTAGTAAATAATGACTAATTAATTATAACAAAAATATTAAATGCGCGTTTTTTTCTCATGTTATAACTTTTTTTTTTTTACTAATAAACGTTATAATTAATAGTTATAATTTATATATAACTTATAATAATATTTAAAAAAATTGTTGTTGTGTCCATCAAAACAACAAAAATGTTTAAATTAAAAAAATTAATCGGTTTTAATATAATTTTATTATTATTATTATTATTGACGGACTATTCATATGGTTTTCCAGTTGAATGTAATTCAAACAGCAATCATAATAATAATAATAATAATAATAATAATAATAATAATAATAATAATAATCAAAATATTAATGAAAATAGTTTAACAAATAATTGGCGATTGAATCCTGTATTGAAATTTCTGAAAGAATTGGGCGAAAATCGTGTCAATCATGTAATCAATTAATTAATTATTTTTAAAAAATATAAATATTTTCATTAAATTAATAATTAGTTTTTTTTGTTGTTGTTATCAAACAAACAAAACAGTTATACTATTCAATCAAAAACGGCATCAAAAGTGGTCTGTTATGCGACTCATGCGAAATGGTCTTAAGTTTGGCTAAACTATCGGTATATTCTGTTTGGGAATTAAATTATATGATGAGCGGTGTCTGCGAATCGTTCCGGTTTGAGGACAGGCGTGTCTGTTCAGGTATGGCCGACCTGTTTGCCGAACAACTCTATTATATACTCAGACACACCAAACTGGCCAAACAGGAAATGTGTGCCCAACTGATTGGCGCACAATGTTTGCCCGATATATGCGTTTATGATAAGAAAAATAAATGGACAGTTAGTTTTGATAACAAATTCATATTAAATACAACAACTACTGTCCACAACACCAACAACAACATAGTCAACAATACAATCAGTGATTATAATAATATTGTTGTCGATAGTAGTACTAGTGATGATGGATCTACTGATGATAATAAAACTTATAAAATACTTCATCTATCGGACCTACATATCGATCCGTTTTATAGTTACAATTCAAGCAGCGCTTGCGGCGAACCATTATGCTGCCGTACTACCAGTGCCCAGGGTAAGGGCAGTGCCGGCTACTGGGGCGACTACAATAACTGCGATTCACCCAAATATACCATCGAAATGTTGATGACCTACTTGAACAAGACAATGGCCAACGATTTCCAATATATCATATGGACAGGCGATATAGTGGCACACGATGTCTGGAATACTACCAGAGATATCATAATCAACGGCTCCCGTTCCCTAACCCAACTAATCAATCAACATATAGCTAATGGAAAACTAGTATTTCCTGTCGTCGGAAATCACGAAGGATTACCTGTTAATCAGTAAATAAAAAACTGTTTTTTTTCATTTATTTTTGTTTTGTTTGTTTTTTTTTTTTTTGATAGATTACTACTGTATATAAATATAGAGTATGTGTTGAATCTTTTGAATTGTTTTTGTTTTGTTGGTATTTATTTATTATAACACATTTGATTTCATTAGCATTATTGTCACTATAAATACTTTACTAATAATAATTCATTTGATATTTTATCAGATTTAAAAAAATAATAATAATTTATTATTACATTAATATTATTAATAATAATAATATGATAAATTATTAGTAATTTAATGTAACAAAAATAAACTGTTATATAATATATTAATTTTAACGAAAAATAATAATATATTTAGATTACCTGTTAATCAGTAAAAAAATTTTTTTTTGTTTTTTTTGATAGATTACTATACGCTTTATTTATAACTTATTGTTATTATACAGTATTTATATAACTTTTGATTAGCATAAATGTCACATTAAATACATAATAACTCATTTTTGTTATCATATTAATTATATTATATTAATATAATCAATATTTTCTACATATATATATATATATACAGTAGTTTATAACTGGGTTATATTTATTTATACTAATATTAATAATTTAATTTTTTTTAAATTAATATACAATATATTTTTTGTTTGATTGATTTATTTGCTAAGGTTTGCACCGCCAGAAATTGAGGGAAAGTTATCTATCAAATGGTTATACAATGAACTACTTAATCAATGGTCTCAATGGATACCCTGGGACTATCATCAAACATTTGCCACCTATGGTTGTTACGCTAAAAATGTATCGGATTATTTGAGGATTATCGTATTGAATACAAACTACTGTTCCCGTTTAAATTTTTGGCTAATGTACGATCTGGATGATCCAGGTGCTCAATTGAAATGGCTGGCAGCTGAACTATTCAAGGCTAGCCAATTGGGACAACGGGTCCATATTATTGGTAATAATACTATAAATTAAGTTATAATAAGGATATATATATATATAATATTGTATTAATAATAATTATTATCAATAATATAGATAATTAAGATTTTTTTGGTGGGGAAAGGGATTGATGTTTTGATTGATTTATTTTTTTTAAATATTTATATATAAATTAAGTATTGAATGTCATATTTAACTTATATATATATTATACAGTAGATATACTATACTTAAATTAATTACTAATACTATATAATAATAATTTTTTGCGAGGGGGGGTGGGAATATGGGGGTATATATTCATCAATTTTTTGAAATTTTTTTGAAATAACACCTAATTTTGTTTTTGTTGGTTGGATTATAGGTCACATACCGCCCGACAATACCCAATGCACATCGCACTGGGTGTACAACTATTTACGTATTGTCCATAAATACAATCAGACAATTGTTGGCCAATTTTTTGGTCACACACATTTCGATGAGTTTCGGCTACAATATTCACCCGAAAACAAATCCCAGCCAATCGGTGTCGCCTATTTGACGCCCAGTGTTACCACTTATATGGGCGTCAATCCGGCATTCAGATTTTATACAATCGACACCCAGGTAATATATATATATATATATATATATATATATATTGATATTAATATATAGTATAATAGTATAGTAGTATATTAGTATAATAGATACTAGCTAATATATAATAATATATACTGTAATAATAGATAGTAATTAATATTAAAAATAATAGTAATAGTAGTATTAAATAGTATTAATAATATAATTAATAATATACAGTATTATATAATTCATAAATTATTTTGTTTTATTAAATCATTAATTTTATATTATATATATATCTAAATTACCTGGATAGTTTGAATTGATTAAATCAATATACAACCAGTTATATTATTATTATTATCATATTAATTAGTATATAATATAATATCAATAAAGTTTATATTTGTAATTAACGGTAATATATTTTTTTATATATTCAATAGTTTCAAATTAAAATTTCACATAAATAAATTAGCAATGTTATTTGTTTGTTTGTTTATCGATACAATTATACCTAGTATCTATATCTTAGAAATAAAAATAAATTGTAGTCTATTGAAAAAATCTAAATCTAAAAGTCTAGTCAAAATGTCTAGTCTATTATTATATTAATATAATTTATTTGTAATTATCCAAACAGTCGATATAAATCTATTTTTAGATATATTTAATAGATATTTTCATTTTATATACATTTTATATATTATTATTATTATTATTAAAACAGTTTATATTACTGTATATTAAATTACCGGTAGCTAAATAAAAAATAATAATAATAATAATAAATTTAATTTCAAATAAATAAACTAGCAAAAATTTTCATCATCATTATCCATATAGATATTGATAAATTAATAATATATTAAAAATATAACTATAAATATCTATTGAATTAACAATATTTATATAAATAATAGTATTTTATATGAAATAAAATTAGATATATTTATCATTTTTTTCATATATATAAAAAAACACTTTATATTAGATATCATTGATTTATTAATATTTATTTTATAGGGAAATGTTTTGGATCATCAAAACTATTATTTAAATCTAACCGATGCTAACCATCACATCCAACCATCACAACAACAACAACTACAGCAACAATGGATTAATGAATATTCAGCCAAAAAATCATATAATATGACTACACTTTCGCCAGAAAACTGGAACCTATTATATGAGAAATTGTTGGTTAAAAGTGGAGACAATCGGCTATTTGATAGATATTATAATCATTATCATAGATATAGCGATTGGTTTGCAAAAAATTCAAGCATTGATTTCAGACAACAATTATTGAATGCCATACCTATTGTCAGTCCTATAACATGTAATTAATTAATTAATTAATAATAATAACTACTACTAATTATTGTGAATCATTAAAAAAAAATAAAAATCAATTACTTTTCAATAATAAAAACTACAATATATTTGTTTTGAATAAATATTTTGCTAATATTTTTTTTGTTGTTGAAAAATATATATATATTTTATACAAATATAATAAAAAAACAATTTCAATATCTATTTATGACAATATAATTAGGATGTAATCATTATATTGTTTTTGTATTTTTCTCTATAATAAATAAATAAATAATGAATTTTCATTTTTTATAATAAATTTATTATATAATATAATTATATTTCAAAATTGATTTATAATGAAAAAAAATTAAGTTGTTTTTCATAAATGTTTTAAAAAATCATTTATATGGTATTATGTTATTATATATATATATATATATTGAATAAGATATAATAAAATTATTTTTGTTATTTAATATACTGAATGTTACATTTTTTTTCTACGAAAAACTAACCTTGATAAAATTACATTTCATCAATTATATCAATAATTATTTATTTTGTTTAAAAAAAATAATTATTTATTTCTATTGAAAAACCAAATCAATCGAAAACTAATTTGATTTTTTTAGATATATATATATTAATAATAATTATGTTGAATGCAATTTCAATAATAATAATATTATTATTATTGAAATTATATATTAATAATACAATTGATTAGTAAAATATAATAACTAATCAATTATTTTAACTTAACTAATAAACATCTATTTTTTCTACAACAACAAAATTGAAACAAATATTTTATATGGTTTTAATGTAATAATTTTTGTTTTGTTTTTTAGTAGTTTAATAATATAAACTAATAAAAAAAACAAACAAACAATTTTAGTTATATAACAAATAATATGTTTGGCGCTGCCATACAAGTAATTATTATTGTATTATTTTCTATGAGATATATACAGTAGAAAAAAACAGTATTCAAAAAATAGGGTTTCCCATTGAAAATCAATTGAAATTTTTAATAATAATAATAATAATAATAATAAAACAAAACAAACAAAATAGTATAACAAATAATCAGCGATAAAATCTCATATTTGAGAGATTTATTTTTTTTGGTGATTAAATAAAGTGATCGTATAATCGATTAATTGATTTATTAAATTAATTAAAAACATTTAGTTTAATTGTAGTAATAATTATATACCAAATGTCATATATATATATATATAATTTATATCAAATGATTAATTTTATATAATATATATAATCTATATAATTAATGTTTACTCTATATAATATACCAGTATATATTTGATATATAATTTTTATATCACATTATTTAATTAAAAAAAAAATAATAAATATATCTCAAAAAATTTATTGATTTGTGTGTCACCTACCTGTGCAAACAAAATTGGTATTAATTTATTTTTTTTGTGGACAAACCTATGGATTGATGGATTAGCCAGTTTGCGAGGACCATCCTATTTGTAGGGCTCCGGTGGTATGTCGACTGATGATGATGTTGACTACTAAATCAAAACCATTCAACTACTAATACCTAACATTTATTTGGGCACAGTTAGATATTGCTCTGGTAATCAAAAAAAAAAACTAATGGACCAACAAATTTGATATATTAAATGATAGTTGACATACAAAATCATAAGTAATTTAATACACTAATAACTATTTGGACAAACAAGACATTGCATTTAGAGACTATAGTAGCTATTATATCATAATTTAGTTATATTTGTAATAATAATAGTAATATTTTTTGTGTAGTTGCTACCAGTGCTCTGGGGGGGGGGGGTGATAGGGCAGTGCTGGATTATGTGCTGGATTACTAAAGTATAATTTTGTGTGTGTTGATTAATTCACCTTGTTTGTAAATAGTCATGCTAATAACCTATATATATATAATATTATATATTAATGGGCCAATGATTCAATTTATTACACAATATAAGTTATATATATATATATATATACTACTGGGCACCATACGACACCATAATTAATCGGTGCTACCGTTCCCCTACTACTACTACTACTACCCTATCCATACTATACTACCTGGCGCACCTGTCATCAAACAAAATTTAATGGCTAACATGTTAATCATTTTTTTTTTTGAAATAATTATTATCCATTAATTTGATACAGTATCTATATATTATTTATGTGTATATGTTATCAAAATTTTTTTTTTTTTAGTTTTCACATTTCACATAATATTGTTGTCAATATATACAGTATATACTGTATATAACTATAATAACCCATTTAGTAATCTAAACAATTATATTACTATCAATGATATTATTATATGATTCATATATCAGTGAATTTTTTTTTAAAATTACTAATTTAATTGCACTATTAGTATACACAATATCACTGTATAAACTCATCAAATATATTAATTTTTTAAAAAATAAATAAACTATTATTAGATAATAATTTTTATATTCAATAATACTTTCAATTGAATGAAATATATATATAAAATGTATATAAAAGTTATAGATTATGATTGTATTGAATGAACTTTTAATTAAAAAAAATGCGATTTATTTTCCAGATTATCACCAAAAAAAAAGTTTTTATCAACTAAAAAAAAATTTAAACAAAAATTGTTGTATTGAATACAAAATCAATAGATTTTTTTTTTTAAATTTATTTTAAAAATAATCTAAACTATCCTAAGATAGGACTTGACAATGATCCAGGTGCTCCAAAAAAATAAATAACTAATTCAAGGCAGGTGCTATTTTATTTTTGATTCAAGGTAAACCAATTTTTTTTTTGTAGACAACGCGTGCATATATATTATTTTTGGGGTTTTATTATATCAATATATATCTATATATATATATATATATATATATATCTATAAATATTTTTTAAAATATAAATTATCAAAAAAAAATTAATCTTAAAATCAATTTCGTGTATAATCATATTAATTATATAATTGATATCAATATTGGTTCAAGTTTTGTAATTAATTTAATAAAAATTGTGTATTGAATGACATTTATTAGGGGTAATCCTGATATAACACACTCGGGTCCTCACAAATATAGTAATTGAAATGTATTTACTTTTAATAGTATAATAAATAAATAATTTTATTATATTATTATTTTATTCATACAGTAGTAATATAATTGAATTAACATAATTATATGTTGATTATCATATAATTATATTTAAATTTTCAAATGTAATAAATAAAAATTTGTTGCACACAAACAAAAATTAAATAATATTTTAAACATTATTATTATTATTTTTTAATAATTTATTTGTGTATATGAATTATGTTTGAATAAATTGAAGTAATTTTTTTATATATATACAGTATATATATGTTTATATAAATATTTTTTGTTGTTGTATTATTTAGGAGGAAATGTTTGTTTTTTTTTTGTTTTTTTTTCTGGCGGACCACCAAAACAGTTAAAACTTATATAACTTATAATATAACGGATGCTAACCATCACCAGTGGATCAAAATATGGGATAAACAACAAAAATAATAAGTAATAATAATAACAGTATAATACAGTATAATATATCGTAAATTTTTTTTTTATAAAAAAAACTGATGACAAGTGATTTGCATCTCATAAATACATTTACAGTATTATCAGTATATCATTATAATAGCTAATAGATTGCAAATTAAAAACAAAAATAATATTTTTATAGCAAATGATTTTTGTCAACAAAAAAATAATTTGAAATGAAATTATTGACTAATATTCTTATATAAAATAATAATTTTTATTATAAATAAAATCCAAACTAAATAATTAAAAAAAAATTATATTTATTTCTCTTTTTTTAAACAATCATTTTTTTTGTTTAAATTATAATTCGTATGTATAAAAATTTTTTTTAAAGATAATAATAATTTATAATAATTAAAAATATAATAAATATATACTTTATTTTTTAGTTTTAGTAGTTAAATATAAATTTATATATAAATATTAATTATTAAATGTTAAAGTCATTGACTCACTCACTCACTCACTCACTTACTTACTAACCTACCCGTCCGTCAACCCGCCCGAACACACACACACACACACACACACACACACACACACACACACACACACACACGGATAGTGTGTCCACACAATAAACAGATCCCAAACACCCAAAAAATCAATCTCTCTTTTTCAGCTTTAAGGACACCTTATGCGACGGTATTATAATAAAACAAAATTTCAGATCCAATTCCGGCTGAAGAGCCTGTATTTGGTATCGTTTGATCAGCCGAGCAGTGGTCAGATATAGTTGCAATTCGGCAAACCGTTTGCCGGTACACATCCGGTTGCCGAACCCGAACGGTATCGATGCAAACCTATGGTATCGGTTCAATCGGTTAGTGTCCAGCCATCGTTCCGGCCGATAGCTGAGCGGATCCTCGAAATACTGTTTCAGTCTCGACGTTACCATCAAATGTGAGAAGACTACTGTCTGTTGAAAAAAATGAAAATTAATTAAAACTAATTAATAACTAAATTATTATTAGTTTATACATTTGCTGGGATGTGATATCCAGACAGGACAGTCGGTTCGGTCATAACCCGCATGATTCCGGGCACTGGATTTGTTAGTCGAAAACATTCGGCGACACAGGCCTTCAGGTAAGGCATGTGTGCCAACATATCGACTGTGAGATCATCGTTACCATCACTATTGTCGCCCATAACATCCCGAATCTCTTCGTACAGTCGTTGCTGGGCGTCGGGATTGGCGGCCAAATGATAAAACAAAAAACACAGAGTATTGGATACAGTGAATATACCGCCGGCAATAAAATCAATTATCGTAATCTTGATATCGCTATCGGTTAGGCCATCAGTTTTCAATAGTGTCTGCAAAACACTACTTCTAGGCGACTCTTCTAGTCTATCATCGGCGCCGTCATCGGCGTCAGTGTTGTTATTACCAATTGAATCGCTATTTTCTTGAATCTTATTCAAACCAATTTCTATATATTTGCTAACAATATCGTAGATAGCAGTTTCGGCTGAATCCAGTTTACGATAGGAACTGGTGGCCACTAGTTTCCAAAACGGTAGCCCATAGTATAGTTCGTTATAACTTTCAAACAGTAGTCCAGTGGCCGCAATCAGCTGCTGGCCATCGTCACTGTTGTCATCATCATCATCATCGCCGCCGTTGCCGCCGCCGCTGGTAAAACAGTGTAACCGCGAATCCAAACACATCATACAGATTGACTCCAATGCCAATCGGTTGGTTGCGTCGGATAAGTCCATCAGTACATCATTAGTCTGGTCACGGATTTGCCAGATATAGTCGAGAAAGTCGTCGCATATTTTATTCTGCGACGGTATGTGCTGGTGAACGGCTTTCAGCGACATCAATGCCGGCGCCAATAGCTGCCGATGTCTGTACCATTGGTCGCCCATCATATTACTCAGGCCTACATTGGCGTATCGGTCCTTATTTCTTAGCCGATAGTGTGTCACAAAATCGTTTGGCGGCCTAATCGGACAGCGGCCCTGATTTTTCAGTACCACTTCAAAGTCTTTCGGATCGTATATATGGATAATCGGTTTTCTCCATTGATACTCTTCCTTGACAATCGGTCCGTACGTATAGTACTTGTGCTCGTTGGCCTCGTGTAGCCGACCCAGATCATACCTGCCAACTATATCATGACCCAGTGGGTGTGTGTAACGGTATGTGTATATATATAAAAAAAAGTTAGTAAACTGTTGTCAACCTACTCTCTCTCTCTCTCTCTCTCTCTCTCTCTCTCTCTCTCTCTCTCTCTCTCTATCTCTCTCTCTCTCTCTCTCTCTCTCTCTCTCTCTCTCTCTCTCTCTCTCTCTCTCTCTCTCTCTCTCTCTCTCTCTCTCTCTCTCTCTCTCTCTCTCTCTCTCTCTCTCTCTCTCTCTCTCTCTCTCTCTCTCTCTCTATCTCTCTCTCTCTCTCTCTCTCTCTCTCTCCCACCCACTACTCCCCTATAGACAATTACATACCGTACTTTAGGTACTGCCATCCCGTTCCTATAAACGGCAGGGAAGGCTTTGGACCGGGAATGGTATGAAATTCTTTAGGTGACCACTCCTGTTGTTGTTGTTTGTCATCTAAATCATCGTTAGTGTCATCATTATTGTCCAGCAGTTGGTTGTCAACTAAGCTCATAATTTAGTAATTTTTTTTTTACTAATAAATAAATGTTATGTTATTTTTTTTATAATACAATTTTTTTTTATTTCTATGTGTGTCAAAAATAAATATTTTTTTTTTAATTAAAGTGTGTGTGTGTGTGTGTGTGTAGTACTGTCACCAACAACAAAAACAACCAATCAACTAACCAATAGAGAAAAAAAATTGCTATTGAATTTCTAGATACTGTATACTGATAGGGTTAAGTGTATATATATTTATGAGGGACAGTTAGATTTTAGTATGTGTGTGTGTGTGTGTGTGTATGGTTTCATGTATTGCCTCATATACATACATAGAGACAAGTTTGAAAGCATACATACATACACACAGTTACAGACACACACACACACACACTAACTTATAAAATGGATATATTTAATATAATTGTCGGCAAATAAACTTTGTTATCAGTGATTATATATTTATATATATATATATAAATTTAAAAAAAATTAGTATCTATCAAAAATAACTTACCAGTATATATATTGGATTTTTGTTTTGTTACAACTTTAACTCCTATATATATATATAAAAAAAACTTAATAATACAGTTACTAATACTAATAATAAAATATATATATATTTTTTGTATATATATATATATATTTATATATAGTATATATATCTCACACACAAAATTTCCAGTGCCTTAGTTTTTTTTTGTCAGATTTTCGTTTCCAGTTCAAGGTTTTTAAGGGAAATTGGAGGACTGGGGGCCCCACACACACACACACACACACACACACACACATAAGGGAACCGGGAGTTCACACCATTTACCATATTATTGTTATTATTATTATTATTATTGTATTACTGTTCAGCTGTTTTTTTTGTATATGTGTGCAAATATACACTTTTACACACATATATATATAAAACTATTTGCAATTTACAAATACTATTCAAAACATTTTTTTTTTTTTTGGTATTGTGTGTGTGTTTGCATACAGTATTACATAGCCTTATAATACTGTACTATACAGGCTATGTATTCAGTAAAGACACCAAAATATATATATATATATATATATATATATATATATATATATATATATTTGACACATAATCTGATAGTGTAAGCCCCCTACACCCCCCCCCCCACAAACAACCACATACTGTAAGCTCATGTGTGATATGATATGACTTATAATTTAAAATTTAAAAAAAAAGTTTTATATAAACTTTAAGTGCATTTTACTGTATAAGGTATTTGCCAACAGTATATATATATATATATATATAATTATTTTGATATTTAGTGTACAATTTGATTATATTAATCATAATTGCTATCATAATTAATATATTTAATTAAAAAATGTCGATTAAATTTTTGTTTGTATATAAAAATTAACCGACAATTATATAATGTAGATTCAATTATATATATATATTATATTTTAATAGTAGCAACCAGTATGCTAATTGCACTAAAAATTTTAAATGGCAATAATTTTTATTTTTTAAAAAAAAAATTTACTCAAAATATATCGTCCAAATTTTTTTTAAAAGTCAAATTCATGTTTTAATAATTAAATTTTTTTTGTTGTTTAAAAATATAATAAATTATATATTATGTATTTACAAAAAAAAATCATTAATAATTTATATAACTATATACTGTATATATATATATTGATGTATAGAGAATATACATTATAATCAATTTGTGATTTACATAATTACCGCCATATTTACCGTAATATATATTTTTTTCAGTTAAAAAACATTGTTTTTTTAAAAATAAATAAATAAACTAAATATAATAATAATAATAATAATAATATTGAGTACCGTATCAGTCAATCAAATCAAAATCACATGCAATCAATATGATTAACAATTATTTAGATAAAACTTTTTTTTTGGTTATAAATTAATTAATTAAAACTATATTTACATTATTTTTTTGTTGTCATAATTTTCAAAATATATATATAATTATTTAGTCAATCAATCAATCAATAATCTTCGTCATCGTAATCGTTGTCATAATCATTGTCATCGTTGACATCATTATCGTGCGAACCCATTGCCATCAGCTCTCGAATACTAAGACCATCACTGTTTGTCTTAACCACTTCATCCTCGTCGTCGTCATCGTCTTCTTCCTCTTCCTCCTCCTCTTCTTCTTCTTCTTCTATAATATTATCTGTGACTGGTTTTTGTGATTTAGCTAACAATACGACGTCTTCTCCTCCTTCAAGGTATTCCTTATTATTATTATCTTTACCATTGATAAGTGTATCAATCGTTTTGGTGATATGTTTGTCATCATCAGCGTTGTTATGATCGTCAGCTTTGGTAGTAGTAGTTGTAGTTGAATTTGGATCAATTGATTTTAGTTTTAATTTATTAAAAAGCGGTGCTTTCAGATTAAGTAATGATGTATTGGCAC